TCTATATTGCATCATATTGGGAGTTTATAGCTTCAGCATATGAATTTTGGTGGGACCCAATTCAGTCCATAGTACATGATACAGCATTCAAAGAGTTTCACAACTAGCCCTAAGTCACTTATTCTATCTTCTATATTATTTTATGCCAGTGAATTCAAGGGCTCCAGAAATATCACAAATAGTTTTTAAAACATACTATCTACTTTCATAGCACTCTCTTTGCTCATACTGTTCACTTGTTTGGAGAACTTTTGACCCTTTGCTGCCTGAAATCTTATGGGTTCTTCAAATATTCTAGTGAAATGCTACTTTTGTTGCACGTCAGCTTGGACTTCCCCTTCTTTTCATTCATATCATTTTACATAATTTTCCATTGAATTCAAATAGCCTGGGCTAATCTATCAAAATCTACAAGTGTGACCTTAATGTGGTTGTACTTCAGTAACATCTATAAAATAAGGGTAATAATAACATCTATTTCATAGGGTTGGTGTGGTGATTAGTGAGTATATGTATAAAATTCTTAGAGAAATGCTTGACACATAATACATGTTAAACAAAGTGTTTGCTATTATTATCATCATCATTATTATTTATATATCATATTAAGTGAAAATAACCAGGACAAAAACGTATTTTCATATTGTATAAATATAGGGAAATGGCTCCATTTTGGGACTCTAATGACTTTGCACATAGACCACATAGGCAAGGTTCAACTAGAGTGTGACCCAGCTCTTGGCAGAACATCCTGTGATCCTCCTGGAATATGGAAAGATAGGCAGTCTTTGAAGAACTACCTTAATTCTATTTCTTATCTGCCTCTCTTCATTGTGGGAAGCTCTGTATTTTGCAGGAAGCTGCTGTGAGACAGTTTCTCATTCTACTCCCCAGTTCCAGAAAGGCATATAACTTCCTACCTCACTCCCCTGGGCTATAGATGAAGACTATAAAACAGCTAATTGGAGGCTAGAGTTGGCTTTTCAGCTGTAGACTGTCCCACTGATTCTGTTACTTGCCATTTGGTTTGATATTCTCTTGTGGGAAAAGGCATATGAGGAGCTGACACTATACAAGTTGTGCTAATGTTGTGTAAGTAATGATCTATTTTCTTTTGGGGATATTGTTTCCTTATTAGATCAATCAGTGAAAATCTGGTAAGTCCACCTGATAGTTACCACTGCATTGCTGCTTGTAGGTGGCTTAATATCTTGACAATAAGCTCCTAGAGAGAAGGAAACCTTGTCTATTTTGTAATACTAGCACCCGGTCTATAGTGTTCCATAAATATTTTCTAATTAAATATTTAGAGCAAACAATGATACATATGTATTTGAAGATATACTGTCAAAGATATATATCAAACCCTTCACAGTGGGAGACTTGTGAGGAAAGATGGAGAATACAGACAAAGGATGAAAAGGACAAGAAAATACAAGGTAAAAGCCTCCTATTCATGAGGTTAAAGAAAAGCATACATGTCACCTACACAGAAGAAGCCCTCTAGCTCTCTTATTATTCTTCCCTTAATTATATGAGTATTTGACACCTTGTAAGCCTAACATTAGTTTCTAAACTATAATATCAGGAGAAACTAAATCAGCATTATCCTAACTTTGTTTCAAGGAGCCTCTGCTGTTATCATAAGATATATCTCATGGGTGGTAGTACTTTTTATTTCCCCAAGGTGATAGTACTTGTATATGTTTTACATGTGGGGTTTTCTCATAAAAATTTATTTGTAGAAAAGGCATATTGGTAAAACAACAACAGCAACAAATCTGTAAAGCACAGATTTAATTCTAGCGTGAAAATACCTACATGTAGATTAAGGCCAGGGAGACTATGTAGCTACAAATTTAGGAGTAAAGCAACAGAGAATAACAAGAGTACAGGTAGAATTTGGATATTGAATCTTCTTGGGTTTGGGGTTAGAAGTTTGCTGAAGATACACATATTGTTAATTCAAAACTTTGTTTAGGATTATCAGTTTGATTTAAGGTCCATAAAATTTGCATTCTTGTTTGGAATCTGGGGCAGGTAAAGGAAAGGGTGGCTTATGAATTTCTAAAGTTCAAATCACTTCTTGTAATTAAACACATTGTATTTCTATTACCTTCCTCAGCATAAGCAAGGGTGTAAGCAAGGGTATTCTTATTAAAGTCTCTTGATTGAATTGTTACATACAGACCAGATCCAAGACCCAAATAAAATATTTAACCAATGTAAGGTGCAATTTTCCCACATTTTCATGTTTTTGATATTGACATGCATTACATAATGCATACACTTAATGTGGTATTGTGCCTATTCTCTCAAACATTGTTATAAATAAATGGCATGTTTAGCTAGGAATAGTGGCACATGCCTGTAATCCAAGTGGCTCAGGAGGCTGAAGCTGGAGGACTGAAAATTCAAAGCCAGCCTCAGAAACTTAGCAAAGCACTAAGCAACTTAGTGAGATCCTGTCTCCAAATAAAAAATAAAAAGGGCTGGGGATGTAACTCAGTGATAAAGCACCCCTGAGTTAAATCTCCAGTATAAAATAAATACAAATAAAAAAATAAAATAAGTAATAAATAAATGGCACATTTATAATTTGATGATGTCTTGAATTCAAGAAAACACTATATTATCAACAGGAATAATAATCATATAAGTTTGAGCAATAAACACTTGAGATGGGGTCAACAATCTCTTTATGTCTTACCGATAGGGTTAAGCAATGATGGTAAATAGCACCATCAATAAGCCTACAGGGGGGGCTGGGGTTGTGGCTCAGTGGGATAGTGCTCTCCTAGCACGTGCAAGGCCCTAAGTTCAATCCTCAGCACCATATAAAAAGTAAATAAATAAAATAAAGGTATTGTGTCCGACTACAACTTAAAAAAAATTAAAAAAATGAGCCTACAGGATAAAATTCAAACTACAAATCAGGCTTTATTTATTTTTTAGTGCTGGTGATCAAATCCAGGACCTTGAACATGCTAGGCAAATGCTCTACCTCTGACCTACATACCCTGAACCCAAATCAGGGTTTTAAATTGTTTTTTGAAAATAAGCTTACCAGTATGCCATTACCTACACTTATTCCTAATTCTTCTTGTACTCTTTACTTACACAAATATAACATGCTATTTCATACCTAGATACCTTTCCATGTGCTTTTACCTATTCTGCTTATAACTCCCTTGGAATGTTGTCTACTATAGAAATCTGATCCAACCAAATGGAGCTGGTTGATCCCTTTATGTTTTATATCACTTTGTACCTGAATATACCTCTACATATGTACTTACAAAACTGAACTGAAATTATTTATAGGGGTCTACCTCCTTTACTGTAAATTCCTTGAGGAAATGGACCATTTCTTATTTATCTTGTATCTTGGTACTTAGGACAGTGTTTAGTATGTAGTAGTGTTCACTAAGTATTTAAAAATTGAATAAATGGAATGTAAAGCACTTACCTAGCCTGCACAAGGTCTTGGGTTTGGTCCCAAGCAACACACAAAAAAAGTTGAATAAATAAAGAAATAAGAGTAAGAAAGGAAAGTAAGAGGAAAAGAATGATATACAAGTGATAAAGTGCTATAGCACCAACAAATGTTTTATTTCCTGCTGTCCTTCAATGAGTGGTGTCCATGCCTTATCCAAACTCTCTGAACTCCTACTAGATTTACAATTGACTTTCAATGAGTTTGGTAATAATAAAATTAGTTCATTTATGTTAGCTTTGTCTCTTAAGTCAATTATAAATTCATTAGACGGAAGGATCAGTTCTTCTGCATATACTTATTGAGTTTTACATAAACTGTATGTTCCTATTATGAGGTGTTATTTAGTTTCCAAGATTCATTATTCAAGATACCTTTATTATTAAAACTAGTAGTAGCAATTTGCATGAGAGAAATGGAAAGGCTCACTACAGATTTATTTATTTTGGGCCTAGAATTTCTCCAGAGCTTAGAGTAATCCCCAACACTAGACATCGAAAACATAATTTTACAGTAATTTAGGAGAGAGGAATTTGAATATTACTGGTAAAACCCTGAGAACTAATTACTTCAAGATCACTTGAAATCTTAACTCATTAGAGTTTGAAAAATCTCCTGAGGTACTTAAAGTCACTTCCCATTATTTTACTTGATTCAATTGAATATCTTAGATTTTGCTAATAAGAGAAAACTTGAAGTTCATGCCAAAGAGAGATTCCATTTATCATTTGCTTAAGGAAAAAAATATTAAGATCTTCTATGGGCACCTCAGTATTCTATAATGTATTCTAAGAGAGGAGGAACAAAGATAGAAGGATAGCCCTACCTCAAAAATGACTTAACAGAATTACTTATGTTTGGTGCCAAAATAAGTCTAATTCTACACTCTAGATCAGGCCCAGACTTTTCAATAAGATCATTAGGAGGATCAAATAAGCAGAAGTAAGGTGGTACTATTGATTTTGCTGGTATTATTATGGTTATTATATGGAAACAGCAACTTGGATGCTCCCCAACATGCTGTAGTGTCATTCAAATAAGGGAGTGAAGCAACATTTTAGACATCTTCTTAGTAGTTTAAATCAGATGTTTAGAGGTAAACTGATTCAGGGAAGGTGATATTTCATTCTGATTGCCTATCAGCATCAAAAGGTAATAACCAATCAGTCAGTATGCATGTGACAGCAGTAAGATGAAAGAATATTCAGCACAATCAGACTGCATGGTTTTAGTAGGAGGACCTGTAGTAATCATGTATTGTATCATATGATTTTACTATGTTTGTTTGTAAATCTTATCCAACATGTGTAAACTTCATTGGTTTTGTAAATGTCACCAATTTTAAACTGTCTGTCCTATTATTCCCATTGTGCCTGAAACATGGTAACAACTATGAAGAATTTACATCATTGCCTACAATGTTATATATATATATATATATAACAGTCAGTCAATTCAGCTGTAATGGTCATACAGACAATGGGAAAAGGGAGGAGAGGCTTACCACGAGCTCCTGACAACATGCTGTTGAAGAATCCTTTCTTGTCAATCCTAGGTATATATCCTCAGTTCCCACCTGCTGTTTGAATATAATCTCATACCTGAAAAAAAAAAGTCAATTATGATAGGGACTCAAATGAAAGAGCAATTTCCTGTCACAAAGCAGAAAACTAGAAACATATGAGGATATGCTATTACAAAAAGTAAAAGGACTAAATAAAATGCTTGCTTTTTAGTAGTAGAACAAAAAGGAGCAGAAGTCTAGAAATACAGTAAAAAATACCAGACTCTAAAAAGCAGGATTATTATTTTGTACATACTTATTTTCTAAAATAAACCTTAACTCTTTTGGAACTATATGGATAAAATGGAATGGGGGAATTTCTAATAATATTATAATAAGATTAAAAGTAGAAGATCAAAAAAGGTCCATTCATAGAATACAAATGGCTCAGGAAACACTGAGCCCATAACCCAGGATTTGATGGATAAACAGAAACCCACCTCTGCTAATTTTTAACCACAAAGTAAAGTTAGAAAATCCAGGTTTCATATTGTCTCTGTTAACTGTGTGACCTTAGTCAAGTTACAAATTCCTAAGGTCTTGGCTTCTTTGCTTGTATGATTCATGGTAAGGGTGGGTGAAAACTAAATGATTTTTATGGTCTTTTCTATTTCCATAGTCCCACACTGGTAAATCAGCACAGCTACACTATGGCATATAGAAACCGATCGTACAGAATTCTTAGTTCAATGAAGGATTTTCCTGTTATTTTATCCCACAAAGGCAATTCACAAATCTTTTCTTCCTCTTAAATTTGGGCTCTTCCTCTAAAATTTAGTGCTGATGATTGAACCCAGGGCCTCATGCATACTAGGCAAGTACTCTGTCACTTAGCAATACCTCCTGCCCTAAAACTTAGGTTTTTTAAAAATTTTTTTTAGTTGTTGGTAGACCTTTATTTTATTTATTTATATGTAGTGCTGAAAATTGAACCCAGTGCCTCACACATGTGAGGCAAGTGCACTACTACTGAGCCATAGCCACAGCCCCCTAAAATTTTTTTATGTTTATTTATATCCTAATGAAGAAATGGTAAATTTCTGAGCTGGAAGACTAGAGGACTAGAATGAACTTCTGACCATTTGCAAATAGGAATGCCCAAGAATAAAAAAGGGATGGGGGGGTTTAAATAGAACTAGAAATAAGTAGATATTTGATATAGGGCACTTGTCTCTTAATAGGCTATAATGTCTACCAATATTTACAAATGTTAAGCCAGGTTAAAATAAAACAGAAAGGATCATTCCATCAGCTCATGACTCCCAGATGGATTTGCTCAGGTTCCTGCTCTTATCCTGAGCTTCAGATACAATTTTCCAACAGCCTACTATATAGGCTTGCCTTCATGTCTCAAAGGCATTTCAGGGTCTACATATCTAACACCAAACTCACTGCTTCTTCTCTACCTACATACCCTACCACAGTTAATGCATTCACCATTTTACTCAATCACCCAAGCTAGTAAGCCTAACATCATCTTAGATGCTTTCATCCATTTTATCTAATTATATACAAAACCTTCCTTCAAACTTGCTCAAATAAAGACTCTCATACTTTTCCCCAAGGTCAGGGTCTTAGCTTAAACCCTTATTATTTTTCATTTGGCCACTTACAAGTCTTCTTTTCTAAACAGTTTGTTCATGTTACCCATTTTCCTCTTTACCCACTGGGCATTATGAAATTATTTTCAAAAGGTAAAACTTTCTGGGGCTGGAGTTGTGCCTCAGTGGTAGAGTGCTCACCTAGCATGTTCAAGGCACTGGGTAAAAAAATACAGATAAAAATTGTAAAAAGCAATGTTCCTCACATATTGAATGGAGTTATTATTTATTTAAAGCTTTCATGAATGTTCTATCTAGAGAATCTCAAACATGGGGATGAAAAGTGAAAATGGATTCAAATTTGGACTTTTCTGCATTCGGATGTGTGATATTCATAAGACAATGTGACAAATGAGTGACTTCTTAACTTTCATATGGATGTGTGGGCACTGTATAAACTTAACCTGAGATTTTCTTTTTTCATTCTTAAGATGCAGACAGAAATGTTGTATTAAAATCTCCTTTGATTTTTTACAAGGTTTATATTTTTTAGCATAGTTTATTTGAAAGCTGGATACTTCTTTCCCATTAATTACCCCCACTCTCCCACTGCTTCTATTTTCAAAACTGATATAGAAGATACAAGCACTGTTTTTTTTAAATGAATTAGACAGTTTTTTAGTCACAATTAGAAAAGTTGACAGATCACTTGCCATAAACGTCTTTAATAACTAATAAAGTACATTATACTTTTACAAATATTGCTTTTTTTGGTTTATCTATATACTCAGAGTTTTAAATTAAATATATATGTATATATATTTAATGCTTACTCTATTTAGCAATTAATTTCATCAATATATGCAAACATACTTTATATTCCTTAGAAGTATGAGGGTTTTAAAAAAGCTGAAAGCCTTTTTTCATGATAATGATTCTAAATTTTGTATCTAGAGTTTGATGGTATTGAAAAGGCTACAAGGCTTGAATTTTGTTTGCAAAATACACTGAATACTAAGCATAATCCTGAAATATTTAGTGAGTAAGTCTGGATAATAATTGATCATTGAAGGTAATACATAGCCTTTTGCTGAAATTATAAAACACTGAGTAATTAAAAGCAGGTCATTGACACATAAACATGGTATTATAATTGGGTTTGTATGAATGCTTGCAATTTAATGGGGTGATTTTCTCCTAGTGTTACTTCTATACTAGACAACAAACTGACATTAAATATAAATTTATAATGAAAATGACAATTTTTCATTTTTTTGCTTGATAAAACTGAAAGGAAGGTATTATGTTTTATTATTTGTTTTTGCCTTAGAAGGGGAAAAATGATCAATTATATGTGTCCTTCTATGTGTCCCTATTGTTTTATCTTTTATGTGGTAAAAGCAATTATACATGCCTTCTGTGTGTACCTATAGTTTTACATTTTGTGTGGTATAAGTTACTTTATGAATTGTCAAAAATAGAATGATATCAGATGATACTTAAACCCTAAACACATTCCTGGCTTCACTTGACTTACTCTGGGATTTCTCGAACATCCCACATGTCATCATGCTCTGCTCCTTCTGGAACTTCTTCTGGATTCCAGATGTCCTCACTACTTTCATCACTGGTTTGAGAGATGGCTGTGAAAAAAGGGAAGATAAAGCTGAAGCTGTGGCTTATTTTCCTTCCATGAAGAACATGGATCGTGTTCTTCACACACTTTTTGGGATAATTGAAGTAAAACATTTTTTATTTGTAATCACTACCTTGCTCTTTTGGCCCAGACAGGCTAAATTAGTAACAACTGATCTTAAATATTATCAGTACAGACCAATAAATTGTAGAATTATAATAATAATTGTAGAAAAATACATAAGCAAAAAAATAGATAATCTATAACCTAACTTCCTGGAGATAATTAATGTTCTCATTCTGATGTTTTATATCTTCCCAGTTCCTCTCTGTCTGCTCTCTCTCTCTCTCTCTCTCTCTCTATATATATATATATATATAGATAGATAGATATAGATATATATATAGATATAAGACATATAGATATATATGCAAAAGAAATACTGTACCTTTTCAGAAACAAACAGGATCACATGTAAAATATTTATATACATATATAAAAGATAAAAATCAAACATATGATCAATCTTATTTAGATAGAAATGTGAGCCTAGTATTGTGTTTTACTACATAAAACACTTGAATACCTTTTCTATGCAAATGTGACATTACTTTAAAAATAATATCAATTAAGGAAACTTAAAGCAGTGGTATGAGGATCATTTTTTAATCCAGTATTTTCCTCACATATATATGAGCTTTAAAGAAAATATATCACTTCTTATCCTTCATGCAGAACTTTTGATTTTCTATGTCATCTTTAAAATATTTTTAAAGTAGACAGGCTCCAGTAGGTATGCAAAAATCCAGCTTACATTTGTTCTATTGTGGCATCAGTGGGAACATGCATTAGGTGCAGCACAGAGTCCTTTCAAGTATTCCCAGAAATTCACTTGATTGCCAGGTTTTCAATTCTGCCAATTCTTTTTAAATTATGTGCTTCTATCTAGCATGGTCAAATTTATATAAAACATTTTACATGTGACTCATTGTCCTCAAAATTTAGAGAGTATTAGACTTACATTATCAGAAATAATAGACAACACAGAAGTACATCTGGATTTGAACTACTCTGCCATGTAGTAACCATCTCTAAGGCAAACTGCCTCTTGAATAATAACTGAAAATTTTAAACATCCTCAGACCTTATTTTAGCCATTATTTTAAGCATTTTTTCAGATAATATCTTTCACAATTAGATTAATGAATGAATTCACTTCCTCTCTCTGTCCATTTTCTGGTAACTGTGATCATCACCAACAGAATTAGAGTTTCCTATATTTTTTTAGTTGTAGTTGGATACAAAACCTTTATTTTATTTATTTATTTATTTTTATGTGGTACTGAGGATTGAACCTGGGGCTTCGCACATGCTAGACAAGTGCTCTACCACTGAGCCACAACCCCAGCCCCTAGAGTTTCCTATATTTTTAAAGATTTGAGAAAAGCTCAATTCTGTGAAAATGTATACACCAAAATGCTAGGAAAACATTACAAAATGTCTTTATTCTAGTTTTTGGACCCATGATTATTATTATTATTGTTGTTTTTTTGAAGGACTAGGGATGGAACCCAGGACTTCTACATGCTAGGCAAATGCTCTGCCACTGAGCTACCTCCCCAAACCCTGGACCTGTGATTTTTAAAATAATTCCATGAACTTTAATTCACAAGTATCAATGTAAGATAAAATTGTGTGGTAACTTGTTTTATTGTTTTCTCCAAAAGCCTATTAGCTCAAACAAAGCAGGGACTATTTTGATATTGGTATTGATCACAGTCTCTGAGATGATCATACTGCCTGGCACATAATAGGCTCTCATAAATATTTATTGAATGAATTAATAAGGGAATTGTGTGAAATTGCCAGGATATGGAAGAATAGAAGGTGAAGAAGCTAAGCAACTTGGGAAAGAGACCCTAAAACATTAAAATGATTATCTAATCATACATGACTTTCTTAGTCACATGTCAGTAAATATGTCAGTGTGGATAATTCAAGGTAATGATTTTGCATTATTAGGAAAACTGCTTCCTGCCACAGTAGAGTAAAAACAATATCACAGAATTTTTATGTGTAAATGGCTATTCATCATTTCCATGATTATTTCTTTATCTATTTTTTTTTTTTTTTTGGTACTGGGGATTGAACCCAGGAGCATTTAACCACTGAGCTATAACTCCAGCCCTTTTTTGTATTTTATTTAGTCACAGGGTCTTACTGTTTTGTTTAGTGCCTTGCTGAGTTGCTGAGGCTGGGATTATAGGTGTGGCACCACTCCCAGCTTCTTTTTTAAAAATATTTTTTTTATATTGACAAATAAAAATTTTATATACTGGTCATGTACAGCATAATGTTTTGAAGCATGTAAACATTGTGTAATGGTTAAACCAGGCCAAATAGCATATACATTACCTCATATACTTTTAAAAAATACTTTTTTAGATATTGATGGAACTTTATTTTTTTCATTTACTTATATGTGGTGCTGAGAATTGAACCCAGTGCCTCACATATGCTAGGCAAGTGTTCTACCACTGAGCCACAACCCCAGCCCTCATACACTTATATTTGAGGTGAGAACACTTAAAATTTACACTCATAGCAATTTTTAACTATGAAATACATTGTTGGTTAGGTCATCTTAATAAATGCTAATTTTGGTATTACTCTCCATTTAATTCTACTACCAAGTATTTATATTGATTATATTGATCTATACTGCTTTATTAAATAACTTACCATTGAGCTCTTCTGATTTTGGTGGTCCAATATTTCCAGGACCCATGGCTCCAATAGTAGATGAACAGTTTGACTGGGAAAGAAAAAAAATCCAACATTCTATACTACTAGTATAACTATATGACTAGTAATACTTTAAATCTAATAAGGTTTCCATCTAAAAAGCTCATAGAACTTTCCAGTTTAATTATTCACCACTGTTATACAATAGAGAGACAAATACCAAGTATTATTTTGAATGTGTTTTCCTAGTCCTTTCAAAAAGTATTCAGTTTAATTGACTCTGGGGCAGAATTGATTTTTGGTCAGACTAAATCCCCAGTTCTAGGTTCAGTGTACCATCCATCCCTGGGGATAGGGGAATGAGCCACATTCATCTTCATGAAGGTTAGAACCAAGTGTTAGTAGAAAAGCATTGACACTTTTGGATTTGGGCACTGTATCATTGTAGGAAGATGGGGGATAGAAATGTAGGAAAGTTTTATAGAAATAAAAACTAAGAAGTAACTAGAGGTTAAATATTCAGACTTCCAAAGACCCATTCAAAAACCTTGACAACTTTCACTGTTTTCCTCTATGAGTATGAAATGTTTCCTCTTCCCACCACCTCATGACACTGAACTAGTGGATTTATACAGCAACCCCCAAATGAATATTGTCAAATACATGCTGATCCACATTATTGTGCATACATTTTTATTTTGCCATCTTCTGCACAAGCTTTTATACTACAAGAGAACTGACCCTGACTCCAGAACAAGAACAGTCTTCATTTTTTCAAGTATTATAACATCAATATAATGGTAACCACCTCATTGGCCTGTCAGGGATTCTTTGGTATTTCAAGAAAGTTCCAACTTCTTACTAATTGTTCTTGCTGATTTCAGGGTCTATAGCTCTAATTCACTCCATTGTCAAATATTCTTATCTCCGTGGGTCCTGAAAACTAGCACCTCTAGTTCTCCTTTCTCAGGCCCCTGCTCTCATCTCCTAAGATTTTATACATGTTCAAAAGTTAGAATGTCCTGTTTGGGCAAGGGGAGTTTGTCTTTCCTTGAAAGCTCATAAGAAAAGTTCAACTGGGTCTTTATTATGCTAAACTATTCCAACAGTTATAAATCAGAAATTAATCTGTAACATCTCAACAGTTTCTGAGACAGTAAGTATTCTTTTTCAAAAAGAAGATTCAAAACTGCAATGTCTGCCGTTAAGGCATTACTGACATTTTTATGTGAAAATCCCAAGACAGTATTCTGGGTAATTTTTTTCTTCTTTTTAATCACTAAGGTCATATAAATGTGTAGTACCTTTATTAAATTATTAATCATCAGAATACTAATAGTCAATCAGGGCAAAGCATTTCTTGGAACATGAGGATCTCTTGTTTTGTTGAGTGCCTCCTTCCACAGAAAATTAAAATCAGTAGAAATAAAACCTTGAACATTCCTGAAAAAAATTGGTATGCTCCTCATGGAAAGTGATGATTAGACCAGAATGTCAGAACATAGGGGGCGTCATGATTTATTAACAATGAAAATAAATGATTAAAAATAAAAATTACAAGTGAAAATATGGAATGAGAAAATAAAAACATTAAAAACCACCTGGAAATTGTTTTCTATAAGGACATCCTTTGAGTCTTTTTTTTTAAAGAGAGAGAGAGAGAAAGAGAATTTTAATATTTACTTCTATTTAGTTTTCGGGGGACACAACATCTTTATTGTATGTGGTGCTGAGGATCGAACCCGGGCCGCACACATGCCAGGCGAGCACGCTACCACTTGAGCCACATCCCCAGCCCATCCTTTGAGTCTTTATCATGAATCTATAGCCAATTATCTGAGCAATTTATTATTTCAATTCATGCCACTGTGCAATATATAAGAGAGTTTGAACATCCTTGTCATAATGTCTGTGAAGAGTAGTGAACCTGATTTCTCACAGGCCTTAAAATCTCCTCAGGAGTTTGAAAAACAACACACATACTCTCTTACCAATCTCCCTGACTCTTAACAATTCATTTAGAAGAGGGATAGTATAAATGAACCAATGTGCATGCAATGGTTCTCTTGCTGTTTTCAGAGAGTATATTTTCAAAAACATATCACTCTTGTAATCATTTCACAGTTCCCCAGATTAATACATGTTAAAAAATGAAAGACAGTTTCTTTCCTGGAAAATTTAATAGTTCATTAGAAACATTAATTATTCTCCTACTGTTCTGATACTCTAATTCTATACACTCTAATGATATCTGTACTGTGGTGTCTGAATGACCAATTATCTCAAAATTGCTTATAACCCAGATATACAGAATCATACATTATTATAGTAATTTTCCTTTATAAATTGTACAATTTGGTAAAATGATGTTACAGTCTCTCTGTTCTCATAAACATCTTTTCTCCTAGAAATACCTCTATATGCAAATAAACATCACTAAGACATAAACACCAAAGGGAAAAGGCTTTGTAACCAGGGTATATCCTTATCTCTATTCCAATTATAAGTTCCATTTTACTATATTTCAAGATCACTGTCTCTAAAATATTTGATATACTTATTAAATATTGCATAACCCTTTCTCAAGATTTAAGCTTCAGAAAATTATTATTCTGCTATTTCAAGGTATCAGAAATGAACTTGATATATTGATATATTGCTCCTTTTTCCTTTTTCTCCTGTATATTTGTTGTATATATGTGTGTGTACTTGTGTATATGTGTGTGTTTCACACTAGTATTTCTTTGCTAGGATCTACTGAGACTTTTCATTTACTAAAACTTTCTGGTTCCAAGATAACTCAGTTTCCCTGTCTACAAATATAAATGACAAATGTGGCTATTTTATTTCCATTTCATGACTTATTTAATTCTACCCTGTTCCACCTAAGCTCTTCCTTGAGGGCGAACGCTCAATTCTATGTCTGACTCATTGAATTTATATCCTATTCAGAATATACTTGCTTTTCCACACAATGGCCAAAAGGAATTTTTGGAGGAGTAAACTGATATGTATGTTCATGGAAGATGATTTATTCATAGTCACAATAATTAAAAAACTCATTAAATTGTTTTATGTAAATTGACATATTCTATTACATTATGAGATTTCTGCCCTAAAATTTGTCTTATCATAAACAGTCTGATAACCAAGGTTCACTGACATTTGAGAAGTGGAGAATGGAGGACAGATTTTTTTTTTTGTTTGTTTCGGTTATTGTGGAAATAATGGCAGTAACCTTGGGGTTGCCAAAGCTCAGTTCAGGGAACCCTTCTCTTTCCCAGTGAAGCCCATCTTGCTGTTGCAAGGCTCAATGATCTTATCTGTCCTGAACCCAAATGCTATACAGCTAATTCAGACATGTACTAGGAAGTTGACCTTAGTAGGCCCAAACAAGTTTGTCCTATTATTTGGCTCAAAATATCTTGTTCTGTTTTCATATTTACACAAATTTTTAAAAATCAAAGAACTGGCACTTGGGGGTCCAATTAATACTGTATAATTGAAAAATACTTGTTTTATAGAAATACTGTCTAGGCAAAAATAGTCCTAGCTACCACTCTGCAATGGTTGTCAAGCATTCTTTGACCATAAATATAAATGACAAACGTGGCTATTGCTACCATAGTTACAGAACTATTTTCCTATTCAGTGTTCAGGTGGTTTAGAAAAATATAATTATGTTTGCTAGAAATGTACTAGAGGTTATACTCTCATGCATAATCAGCCTTGCATCCTCCTGTGAATGTATCAGATGACACAGCTTTGCTCCCACAGCAAGGTGGGAACAAGTTGTTTAAATACAGCTCCACAACTTCACTGAACGGAACTAATTGATCTATAAGTATATGACCACCTGTCCAAAGTCGAAATCATCCTCTTCTTCAGGATAAAGTAGATTGGAGAGGGCTTCCAGAGTAGAAATTGAAGAAATAGTCTCAATTTCCATATTTTCAGATTCAATATTTTCTGTTTCCATATTTTCAGTTTCTGTATTTTCAGATTCCATATTTTCAGATTCCATATTCTAAAGAACAAGATAATCAGAAGTAAATATTTTACTTTTCTGTTTTATTTAAGACATAAAGATTTTTTTATTGTCATATCTCCCTTCTTTCACTGGGTCACTCCATTGTCTCTTATTTGAAAATATTTGTAATCTACTTCAGATAGATACATGTATTTTGCTAACTCACAGACCTGGGGCAGCAAGTAAACTCAAGCTTTCAGCCTGCTTTACTAAAACTTCGTATTCAATCTAACAAGCACTTCACCTACCATACTGGTTCTCAGGTTTTAGTGTGCTTCAGAATCAGAATCACCTCAAAAAAAAAAAAAAAAAAGAATTACTCAGGAAGTTGGATAAAGATGCAGATTCTTACAGGTTATATACCATTACTTGAGAACATACATTTTTAGACTATATCTGTTTCATGTATGCTATTTAGGCTACATATTCCATTTAGGGAATGGGAAAAAAAGCTGTTGCTTCCGGGATATGCCAGATAACCTTTATTTAGTTCACACTTTTGCCTCAGATGAGCCTGTTCCTATCTGCTTTATTTCAGTTCCTTATTATTATTATTTTTGGGGGTCATGCTAGGAATGGAATCCAGAGCTTTACACAAGACAGGCAAGGGTTCTATCACTGAGCTCTGCCACCAGTCATCCCTCTTTAAAATTTTGAGACAGGGTCTCACTGAATTCCCAATCTGGTCTCTGACTTGGGATCTTTCTGCCTCAGGCTCCCTGGCTGGGATTATAGGTGTGCACCACCATGACTACTATTTCAATTCTTAATTAACCCTAGTGATACCTAGCATTATATTTCCATTTGAGATCTCTAACAGGTTGTTTCATTTACTGTAGTGAAAGTTAACACACAATTGTTTTTATGATTTTAACACCAATACTACATATGTCTGGTGTGGAACATTTTGGAAATAACACATTAAAATATAAACAATAAAATTACAAATATTTAAAATTCTGACATCAGTATTTTAAATAATCTCTGTAGTTATTTTTAGAGTAGGGATATTCAGGATCTTTAAAAATCTCAGAGGTGTCAGACTATAATGAATAACCTGAAAAAAGACTGCAGAATTGGGCCTATTGTTAGTGATTTGGGCATAGCCACAATAGGAATCTTTCTACATTTCTGCTGATATTTTTAAAACATCATTTTATAAAATTAATCTCAGAAAACATTTCTTTAATGCTTTTATTAAAATGATCCATTAAATTTTTGTATTGTGCCTAGAAAGGTAATACAAAGAGATTCCTAAGTGTATGCTGGTATAGTCTCCTGTCATAATCAATCTGCATGTAGATGGTGTTTGACAGATCTTCTGTTTTATTGTTATGTTTTACTTTTATTTTGACTTTCTTTGTTAAATATAAAACTTTCCTTAATATCTATTGGAGATGTCAAGGATGAAACAAATATTAAATTGCCCCACACCTCTAGCATACAGGCAATATATCACAAAGATTAAGAGTAAAGGTCCTGGGGTTATGCTGCCTGGATTTGTATCTATCATTTACTTCTTACCTTTGTGACCTTAGCACATTATTTAAGCTCTTTATACCTAAACTCCTTTATCTGCAAAGTGGGGATAATAATAGTGTCTATCTCTTACAGTTGTTATAAGGATTAAGTAGCTTAATGCATGTAAAATAGCTAGGATTGTGCCTGGCACATAGTCAGACTCAACATATTAATTCTTTAAAAGTTTAATTTTGCTGGGCATGAATATGATTTCCAATAATGATGTAGAATAAGTTAATGATAAAACTCATTACATTGGAAACTCATTAAATTGGAAAAGGTGAAATAAAAGGTGATAAAACAATTTTCTTTCTCAGTATGGTCTGGCAGTCCGCTATGGTAATGAATAATTGACACATATTAAATTAAACAAAGAGGATCCTGTTTATATTTTAAAATTCTAAGTTGATTGTGTTCATTAAATATTTACCTAATATTAAAGGCAAAAAGTTTATTGAAATATTCTCTACCTCTGACAATGAAAGGGAATAGTGCCTTCAGATATCAGTTATAATTAGTATTTTGACATGTACAATGAGATGTTGAAGAACAAATATAGCAGAAATTGTTTATTATTCCAGCATTACTTACTTTATAGAACTATTGTGATGGTTGAATTACACAATTTAGGTGAAAGAGTTTGCTAAAATATGAAAAGCTACATAAAAATTATTTTCTGGCCCTACTGCTAAAACCCACAGATACTTGATCATGAGGCTTGTGAGAGTTCAATGGTAGACTAACTGGTGAGAGGAGAATAAACTGGTACCAGTAAAGCTAACTCAGAAGAAAAGCCATCATAAATTCCAAATACAGTGTCTGAGGTAACACTCAGAATAGCTATTCGTATGATTTTATCTGCTTGGCAGATACATGGCAGCAGGAGTTTCTGGACATGAGCAGTGCTTTAGGGCAGAAAGGTAGAATAGTCATGGTTACAAGGAGATGTATTTATCGTGAAGTAGGACCCTGTCTCATTGGTGGAAATATTGAATATAGGGTCTACTTCTGAGAATTGTTGGGGAGTGGGCAGCTAGATGAAGGTTCCCATAGGAAAAGAAAAAAGCCAGGCATATGTCAGGCTTGTGGTATTACCTAGGTACCCACAGTGGAGATTATGAAGAAAGGCTGTGTGTTCAATGGGTGCACTAGATGTAGGATTTAGGAGAGACAGATTAATTGAAAATACCTATGAGTTAGTTGGGAAGAAACTTTGACCCTGAGTTCTCATTTAGTGAGAGACAGGGCAGTGTGGACAGTGGGAGGCTATAACTGTAGGCTGAAAATCTTCAATAACTAGAGCTGGTACACAGTCAGCAGTTTATGAATACTGAACAAAGCATGATTAGATTCATATGAATTTGGTATTTGAAAATAGTCACCTTGGAAGGTTATACATTGACGTAAATTATGCTATCAATGCTTAAAATATTTTGGAATTTTCCTTTTCTTCTGAAATTGTTCATATCTCTCTATTTTTTTTTACTAAGAAAACAGGTATCATTATGGTATCATTCAGTTTGATTATACATCAGATTTGTCTCCAAGTGATTTGTACATATATCTAGATATCACATCTACTTTCAAAATATGAAGATTTGCTTCTCTGAGGATATTCAAAACAATGTGCTACAGGCCTCAAGGCAATTCTAAAAGAGTAGTTTCAAAAGTAATTTGAGCAATAGCAACGTCATTAGAATAAGTAGAGTAGCCTCCCAAAGTGACTACTTCAAAAGGGATACCACTCCTTAGGAAGTATGTATTTGGATTTCTTAAACAAATCATTCACAATAATTCTTACTAATACTTTATATATTTCAAGCGTATTATGAACTGAGCCACAGTTGGATTTCTCAATTATGCTGGCATAAAATGACATAGACTACCACTCTAGCTAAATTAGAGCAGAAATATAATAACAAAATTAGCACTTTAGCAAGAATTATTTTTACTACATCATATAGAATAATCTGTAAACACAATAATAAGTTATGACAAGTTTGTTGTATTTTGAGAAACAAAAGAATCACAGATATTTTGTATGTACTAATTAAATAGTTCAAGATGTCAAAAGAGAAAAACAATTACATGAATTGGGGAAAAATTATAAATTGAATGGAAATTAAGATTTACTGGATCTTCCATAAGTTTAACAAACCAAAATTATATTTTAAACTTGTGATGTTCTGAGAATTGAAAACTTAGGACTTAATGAGTTAAAGTTCATTTTACACAAATAGATGATATTTTTAAAAACAAGAGAATATGCCTTTTGATGAATTATTTGTAAGTTTGAAATACATAAGTTCACCTTGAGTCTCGCAATCATGACCCTTTACGATATAGCTCCAGTCTCATATTCTAAACCCTTCCCTCCTATTATTCTCTTATATTTGTTCTCTATTCTGTCAAAAACTGAACAGTTTATTAAATATACCCTATAATTTCCTGCCTTTGTACTTTGGAGTATATTCTTCTACTTGTATAGTATAGTGTAGTGATAGAAAAAGATTCTGGAGCCACACTGCTTGTGTTTGTGGCATTGTCACTTAAATAGGCCAAGAAAAACTTTAGAGAAAATTTTAAGTAAGAGTTTCAATAAAACCAAAATACAGAACTAAATATTTTATTTGATATTTTGTTATTTAAAAAGTAAATTTTCTGCTGGATGTGGTGGTACATGCCTCTAATCCTAGCAACTCAGGAGGTTGAGGCAGCAGGATCATAAGTTTGAAGTCAGCCGTCTCAGCAACCTTAGTGAGACCCTGGGCAACTTTAGTGAGACCCTGTATCAAAATAAAAAAAAATAAGGGTTGGGGACTTGCTTAGCATGCGTGAAGCCTTGGGTTTGATTGTCAGCATCACAAATAAATAAATAGGACTGGTGATGTAGTTCAGTGGTGAAACATCCCTGGGTCCAACCAAAACAAAGAAAGAAAAGAAGGAAGGAAGGAAGAAATTTTAGGCCCTGTGTTTTTCTTTCTCTTATTTTGTTAAGCCAATGCCAAGGAAATCATTGTCCAGGCAAAGCCTTTGTTTTTCCCACATCAATCTGAGCTTTTAGGGTCCTCACAGATAAAAGTAGTTGGGAGATCTATCTTGGTAGTAGCCACAACTGGCTTAAAAACAGATACTGCAGAACCAGCTCATTAACAGAACACTAGAGCCAGTTAGGTATTAACAAAGCTGAATCAGGATGGCTTCAGACCCATGGAATCGAAGTGGTATCAGTAACTTTTGGATCAAGTCAGTTCAGTTGTGAGGTTGAGATCATGCTGTTTTGTTTGTGTCTGTCCATAGTAACAATAAGGATGACTTTCTGGTACATGCCTATAATCTCAGTGACTCAGGAGGCTGAGGCAGGTGGATTACAAATTCAGGGCCAGCCTTGGCAATTCAGTGAAACCCTGTTTCAAAATAAAAAATTCAAATGTACTGTGGATGTAGCCGAGTGGTAAAATGACCTCGGGTTCAATCCCTAATATCAAAAAAGAAAAAGAGATGTAGGGTGTATAATGCTAGCTACTCTAGTGGCTGAGGTAGGAGCATTGCAATTCAAAGCCAAACTCAGCACTTTAGAGAGGCTCTGAACAACTTAGCGAGATCCTGTCTCAAAATACAATAAAATAAGATAAAAATAAAGTAAAATTAAATTAAAAGGCCTGGGGATGTGGCTCAGTGTTTAAGTGCCCCTGGGTTTAATCCCTGGCACCAAAAACAAAAAAACAAAAAAAAAAACAAAAAAAAAAAACCTCATTGATTTTAATGTCTAAATTAAATTAAGATGCTAAATTATAGATTATTTTAAAGTGATATTTTATTAATTCAAGTACATATAGTAAATAAAATCAGGATAATAAAAACTCATCAAATAGCATCCTTTTGGAATTTACTTAATAGGTTAAAAAATAACAACCAAATTCTGACTGAATTATAATTATAACTGAATGACATCAAAGTATTCAAGATCCATTTATTCTCTAAATAAATTGGGCATTTCTTCTGCAACTTTATTTATATAATGACTTATTTAGCAATTTATGCATTCAAATTCTTCTGGGAACACAAAAGTAAACATCATCTCTGCCTCTGTGTGAATTAAATTATAACATACTGGCTTGCTGGTTAATTGCTTTTTTTTTTTTTTTTTTCATTGTGCTGAGGACAAAACCTAGGATGTGGCACCTGCTAGACAAGAACTCTACCACTAAGCTATACCCTCAAATCCTGTTTTCATTCTTCTTTTCACATGTTTTGAAAACTATATTCATCAGTAATTCCCTTCAAATTAAAATAGTTCATTTGAGGCTGGAGGTGTAGTTTAGTATACACTAAGCTGTGGGTCCAACTCACAAAAACATTCATTTTGAGTCTTTTACAAAACCCAATAACAGTTTCCTTTTAGGTTTCTACTTTTCCTACTGTCAAATAAACCAACTCATAAGTAGCTGTGGAAACTTAACCAAGCTTTTGTCACACATTTAATGGAAGATTGATTTTTTTTTGCTCTTTTCATTTCTTTTTTTTTTTTATTAGCTACACATGACATTACAATGATCTTGGCAATTCATACATTTGAATCATTGGGGTATAATTTCTCATTTTTCTGATTGTACAGATTGCAGAACACACTGGTCATAGAGTCACCTATATACATACAGCAATCATAATGTCTATTTTATTCTGCTGCCCTTCCTAACCCCCCCCCCCTCCCCTCCCCTCCCATCACTTCTCTCTATCCAAAATGGAAGATTGATTTTTGAAAGTGCCTGGAATCTTTTATAAACACAAACAATTAACCTCTTTTAACATTTTCTCTGTTCTTTATTTTGGCCATAAGGAATCTATATCATTCCAATTGTTTTTTTGGTCGATGTTTCTTCAGCACTGGGGATTGAACTCAGGAGTGGTCTACCACTGAGATACAACCTCAGCCCTTTTTAATTTTTATTTTTCTGAGGGTCTCACTATGTTGTTTAGGCTGACCTTGAACTTTCCATCTTCCTGCCTCAGCTTCTGGAGTTGCTTAGTTTACAGGCATGTGCTACTCCGCTTGGTGTCATCAATTTATATTTTTAAGTGTCCTATATATTAGATGCAGGAACATAATTAATTAAACAATCCTTCCCAATTCAACCTCCTGAGTGCCACCATGCCCAGCTTTGAAATGTGCGGTGTGTTTTTTTTTTTTAATTTTAGTTGTAGATGGACAGAATACCTTTATTTTATTTATTTTTATGTGGTACTGAGGATAGAACCCAGTGCCTCACAGATGCTAGTCAAGCACTGTACCACTGAGCCCCAACCCCAGCCTTTTTTTTTTGTACAGGTGATTGAACCCCTGGGGCATTTAACCAGTGAGCCACATCCCCAGACCTTTTTATGTTTTATTTTGAGACAGGGACTGACTAAATTGCTTTGGGCCTTGTATATTGCGATGGTTGGTTCTCAACTCAGATCCTCCCAGGTCATCCTCCTCAGCCTGTGGGATTACAGATGTGTGCCTCCAGCCCCGCTTAAAAGTGTGTTTTTATGTGGAGATGAGAATCCTTAGTTTCTATAGAATTCCCTCAGACTTACCAACAGATGTGTAGTATATTTCAGAGAATACACTTGGCATTCATTTTTCTCCTTGTTTCTCTCAAGTCTTATATTCTTGTATCTCTTTTGGGGGGAGGGGTACTGGGAATTGAACCCAGAAGCGGTTAACCACTGACCCCCAACCCCAGGTCTTTTAAATATTTTATTTACAGACAGGGTCTTGCTTAGGGCCGTGCTAAATCCCCGAGGCTGGCTTTGAACTCACAACCTTCCTGCCTCAGCCTCCAGAGCTGCTGGGATTAAAGGCACTCACCAGGTGCCTGGCTCCATTTAGGTCTAAATGGAGATTAAGATAGCAAATTTTTGGTCTGCGGTTGTGGCTCAGTGGAAAAGTGCTCACCTACCACTTCTTGTTAGGCCCCAGGTTCAAATCTCAGGACAACCTCAAAGTAAATAAGTAAAAAATAAAGGCGTGTAAGTAAAAGAAATAATATTAAGGAAAAAAGAGGGCAAGTTTTCTTTTTAGAGCTTTGAAATTTTCTCCTCAACAGTCCTGGCTTCGTTTTCTGTCGTTTGTGTTCTGAACCACTATCACAAGAGTAGGCTCTTAGGAGAAACAATCCCCCTGTCTCCAGGCCAAACTCAGTTCCCTCCTCTGACTCAGGTTCATTTTTTTTTTTTAAAAATCAAATTCCCCTCTTTTTGAAAGGAATAGTCAAACGACATAGAATACTTACTCCCTCAAATCAGCCCTTGGCGAATAGCAGGTTTTGTAGGAACAAGTAGTTTTGGCACACCACACTCCCTCTCACTAAGTGCGAATCTAACGGCTCCCTTCTCCTCATCCGGTTTGACCAAGTTCAGTTGGAACTCTGAGGCCACAGCACCAAAATTCTCGCACACAGGTCATTGTTCACGCAGCAAGTGGCAAGGTTCACGTTTTTAGGTCTTAACAGTGTTATCCACGCCCCCTCTCCCCACACATCCCAACCCAGACTGCAGCTGCTCCACTTGGAGCACATGGATCTACCTATAAGAAACAGGATTTACACCCTCCATTTAGCCAACCTGAGGGGAAGGGAGAACAGCTAAGTGTGTGAAAGCTGAGGTAGCTAATTGGAAAGTCTTCAGATGTTTATTTTGGCTTTCTGATAGTCAGTCGACCAGCACCCATACCTTGTATGTTACTTCCACGTCTCTCACATTCCGAGAGACTGAGTTTTGTTAAAGAAGCACCCTGCTTCTAGTGCCTAAGACTGAGGGATTGAGGAAACGGTTCACCTCTACTTTGTGCAACTTGTGGCTTTTTCAGTTATTTCTTAGAGTCTCAAGTATCTACAGTTCTCCCTGATAGTCACAGCATCTGAGGACCCTGTTTTTCCCCCTCTTGAGGTTCGGATTTCCTCACCTGGGTCAGTTTTCAGGTCGCTGGCTAGGCCCCGAAAATAGCGGAGAGCTCTGCGTCTCTCAGTTGCCTGGGTAACAACTTGGTTACCCGTTCCCCCCCCCCCCCCGCTCCCCCCTCCCCCTTCCGCACACCACCACCTCGGGCCTTCCCGCTTGACCTCCCTGGCCAATCATAGAGGAGTCTCCTTCAAAACAATACCAGAATCAGCCAATCCGGGTGCGTCCAGGTCGGGTCAATGGCCGCCCTTTCTAGTTAAGTAGGTCGACCCCAGTTAAGCCTCAGTAGCGGTTAGCGTCTCTTCAGCCAGAGAGTCGTTCGTTTCCGGCTCGCGTAGGTCTGGGTCTGCCTCTGGTGGCTACACAGCCTCGGAGGCCAACCCGTTTACTTTACGGACGGGACAGAAAGCAGCGACTGCTACTACGGTAAGTTTGTAGGACTTTCGTGGGTAGGCTTCTCTCACCGTGAAGCTTTTTTGCCCTGTGAATTCCAGTTCTGAGGACTCAGTCACACGCACGTCTGTAGCAGCGGGAGTAGAAGGGTAGGGTCGGTGGGCCAGGAGTTGAGAAGGATTTGCTTGGCTCTGAACCTTGTTCCCCCAGCCCCCTCCCTCTGACAGAGACACGTGTCATTCTTCTATCGCGGCTCAACGCGCGTCTGTGTAAAGTGAGGTCGCACTTTTTCTCTGCTTGGGCAAGCCTTCGTGGCCTGAAGCCCCAGGGGAATACTGGCTCGGCTGCCGTGAGGCACCTGTGGCGCACAAGTAATAGCCGCGCGTGGTCCCAGATCCTGAAAAAATCGCCTGACAGGCTGCCCTGCTTTTCCCGCCTTGTAGCAGAGAAACGCAAGCTTGCCTCCCTCTTGTCACTGCTTGGGAATTTGGGTGTCTTTACTTAGGGGTAGAGTTGTATCCCTAGTTTCCCTGCAGTGCGCGGTTTAATTTTAAACAAAGGGGAGGGAGGGATGGGACAATAATTATTTGGAGTTTCCTGAACTGTCTGTGATTAATAATTGGGCTCAAAACACATTGTTTGAATGTTACAAACCAGGAGAGACAGGATGAATTTCATGATTAGTTGCTTTTGATAACTGTTGAATTTTGGATTGGAATTTGACTAGAATGCACTGAAACTGTTTCCCTTCTCTCTGATACCATGCTTTTCTTAACTTCCACCCCATCTGGCAGAGGTGAGGGTGAAGTTTGAGTAATTTGTCCATTCTGCTTATTGTTGTCTGTGGTGAGCAAACAAACAAACAAACAAACAAAAAAGGGGGTTTGAATGTTATTCACTAAAGTAAAGTTATTGGCTTTTTGGCCAAATTACCTATACCAAAATTCCTTTATTACTGCGGGTGATCATAGTTTATGTGTCTTGCATTTTGTTAATTCTCTAGATATTTGTAGAACTTAAGTTATGTGTTATGCTATCCTTTTTTCGTGTGTGTGTGTGTGTGTTTGTGTGTGTGTGTGTTTAAGTCTGCTTCAATACACGTTATTCTAAAGTCTAAAGTGCCCAGCCCGTGTTTCATATACCTTTTGGCCATGATTCACAGTGAGAAATAAATTTTATGTTGTGGCTTCAGGACACATATACACTATATAGAAATGACGACTGTTTTGCAAAAACAGTACTTATTACATGCAGTATACTCTGGCACATTCCATTATATTTTAATGAATTGTCATCCACAGTTTGCAAGACATTGACCTTAGACATTTAGTTTTTGAACTTTTGTATGCACTTAGGGAATAACACAAAGATTAGAGATGTTCAGTGTGAAGCCTCAGGTCACACTGTCATTGCATCTCAGCCAATAGAGCTCACTTGATTAAGTCTTGACTTGTTCTGCCTTGATAGCAGATCAGATCTAGAGGCAGAAATTAAGTGGGGAAAGTTTCTCTGACTTTCCAACTCAGAACAGAGGTAACTGAATTTGGCTACTAGTTTGTTTGTTTGTTTGTTTGGGTACCAGGTATTGAGCCACTTCCCTGACCTTGTTTTGTATTTTATTTAGAGACAAGGTCTCACTGAGTTGCTCAGCACCTTGCTTTTGCTGAGGCTGGCTTTGAACTCATGATCCTCCTGCCTCAGCCTCAGGGGCTGCTGGCACCCAACTGCTAGTTTGTTTTTAACGTAACAAACCTTAAAAAATTGAAAGATAAAAAGTACAGCTAAAAATTTCTTTTTATAGCTACGAGAAAGAGATATAGTTTAGGTAATCCTTTTGTATTATATAGAGTAAGTCTTTTAAAACACTGGTGAAATGATTTATTAAACCAGCATTGAAAGAAATTAAAGATAAAAAATTGCACTCATTTCTCTACTGTGATAATATAGTAGTTCTGTCCCCCTCCCTTTTTTATCCATATATACCAATATTTTTACATAACTGTGCTTCTTGTTTATATAGTTTTTTTTTGTTGTTGTTGCTCATTTAATACTGTTCTGGATTTTTTTCCTGTTTGATAGTCTTTATAATTTGAATTATTAATATTACCCTAATATTTCAGAGTGAGTCAGCCTAACTAAACCAACAGATGATTTATTTCCAATTATTTCATGTTATAAAAAATAACGCCGCAAAGTGTTGATTACTTAAAATCCTTTATATAACTTTTGTCTTCCATTCACTGGGTTAAGAGGAAGCCTAATAGGTAGGCCAGGGATCTGGATCTGGACTGGGAATTTTTGCCCCACTTATGTTTGAATTTGGCCTTCCAGTTTCTGTATGCTAGAGCAACAGTGATCAACTGTGGTGTTCTTTATACATATGAGTTAGGCTGAATGTATTTTTTCCATTAATAAGTATAGACATTTTCGACATGATTTACTTTTAAAAAAGCATGAATCATAGCAGGTCCAGGCAGATTCAAGTGCCATAATAATACTCACACTGATTAAATTTCTTTCTGACTATCTTTTCCAAAGGTTATATGAATGTGTATTAATTTTTAATATAAAATATTTTATAAAGCAGCCAATTAAATTGATTAGAAGAATAAAAGTTATAATTGATCTATATTAGCACATCTCCCTCTTCAAAGCACACATATTGTCTTACTTTCTGTCATTTTCAAACAGTAAGTAGTCCTTTTTGTGTGTGGGGGGCGATGCGGGGGGGGGGGATACTGGGGATTGAACCCAGGGATGCTTTGCCACTGAGCTACAACCCCAGCTCTTTTTAGTTTTTATTTTGAGACAGGGTCTCACTAAAGCCTCAATAAGTTGCTGAGGTTGGCCTTGAACAGGAATCTCCCCACCCTCAGTCCCCCTAGTGCTGGAATTATAGGCTTGTACCACCACTGTGCTGGGCATGCTGGGCTAGTAGTTCCTCTTTTTAAAAATTATGAAATACTTCAAAGAAAAAACACAGAGACCATTTTAACACCCACCAAAGATTTAACAACTATTAAAAATTTGCTATATTTTTCTTAGATGATGATTTTTTTTTTTTTTAGGTGCTGGTGATTGAACCCAAGGCCTCACTTATACTAAGCATGGATTCTACCAGTGAGCTACACCTGCAGTTCCTTGTTTGTTTGTTTTTTTTTAAGAACTAAAACATTATAGCAACTACTTAATATCACTTCCCAGTCTCATTTCCTTCCTATTGCAGTGATAATTGTATTTATGTAGTTTATATTTTCCAGTGTGTGTTTATAAGTTCACTAAGATGGGTCCATAAATGATTTGTAATATTTTTGTGTCTCCAAGGTTTACATAAATGGCATACTGTACTTACTCTTCTGCAACATTTTATGGTCAATATTGGTTTTGAGATTTAAATGCAAGTAGCTATTTTTATTGCTATATAGTATTCCATTTTTATTGCTATATAGTATTCCATTGTATGACTATACTATTTTTTTTAAATTTATTTTTAGTGCATTATAGATATATCTAACAGTGAGGTTCATTTTGACATATTCATTAATGCATTTAATGTAGTTTTATCCACTTCAATCTCAAATACTACCCCCTTCTCTGCCCTTCACTAATCCCCTTCCTCTACTCTATTGGTCTTCCATTTATGTGTTTATTTATTTATTTTTTAAAAAAAATATTTTTTTAGTTGTAGTTGGACACAATACCTTTATTTTATTTATTTATTTTTATGTGGGGCTGAGGATTGAACCCAGCCTCTCACATGTGCTAGGCAAGTGCTCTACCACTGAGCCGTAACCCCAGCCTGTTATGTGTTTATTTTTTAATTGATATATTATAGTTGTATACAAAACTGGAATGCATTGTAGTATAGTCATACTTGCACCTAATATAATTTGGTCAACTTCATTCCTCATTTTTCCCCTTTCTTCCCCCTTGGTCCCCATGCTTCCACTCTACTGTTTTCCCTTCTTTTCTTGTGAGATCCCCCTTTTTATTTCTCTTTTTCTCTTTAGCTTCTGCATATGGGAGAAAACATTCAATCCTTGACTTTCTGAGACTGGTTTATTTCACTTAGCATTATGTTCTTCTGTTCCATTTATTTACCAGCAAATGTTATGCTTTTATTCTTCTTTATAGCTGAGTAAAACTCTCTGTGTGGGTATGATATACATCATATAATATACATCATACACACACACACACACACACACTCACACACACACATATATGCACACACAAATACATTTTCTTTTTCTTTATCTATTTATCTATTGGTGGGCACCCAGGTTGGTTCTATAACTTGGCTATTGTGGATTGTGCTACTGTACATATTGCTATGCATGTATCACTATAGTGTGCTGATTTAAGTTCTTTTGGATAAATACCAAGAAGTGGGATAGCTGGGTCATATGGTGGTTCTATTCCTAGTCTTTTGAGGAATCTCCATATTCCTTTCCAAAGTGGTTGTACTAATTTGCAGTCCCACCAACAATGTATATGTGTACATTTATCCCCACATCCTTGCCAGCAGTTATTTGTGTTCTTGATGATTAGAACTGACTAGAGTGAGAAGGTGGGATAAAATCTTAGTGTAGTTTTGATTTGCTTAACATGCAAAGCTATAGTTTTGTTAATTTTAAGATTCTATAGTTAGGCTGTTTGGATAAGTAGAGGCTACTAGAAGAGGACTAGAGGTTGACAGGAAGAACTCAACAAGGTAAAGACAGCTTTTCTACTGATAGCCACAGATTTTGAGTATAGGCCTGTTTTCTAATTTTAAATAAGATAGTGATATGCAGAGGAATGCTAAAGTGTACTAAGATCCTGTTTGTTAAAAAGGATAGAGAATACTAATTGACTTCAGGCTTTGTTAGAAGAACATGAATTTATGCCTGTATCCTTAAATAATTCAAGAGAACTCACACAAATTAATATAATTAAAATATATAACTTGTAAACCTGGTGAAAATTAAGGGAATAAAGAAAATTCCATCAATCCAGATATGCAAAAAAGATAAAAAATGCATAGAGTATGGCAAATACAAAACATAATGTAAGATGGAAAAAAAACCCTATTATATTATTCACATTAAAACCAAATAAGTTAAACTTGTCATATTGGTTTGAATAATTTCAGTTCTGTATGCTATTTACAAAAACTACACTTAAAATGACACAGAAAAGTTGATTGGAAGAGGATACACTAGGTAAATACCAACCAAAATAAAAATGATGAGGCAATATTAATGTTAGACAAAATATACTTTAAGGCAATTTAATAATAAATAGGCACTTTGTTTTGGTGTATAGAAGAAAATCTACCAAGAGACTATCAACCATGAACTTCAATATATGCTCCCAACAACATAGTCTTGAAATATACAAAGCAGAACAATATAATTATAATTAGAAATTGATCATTCATAATAACAATGTGAGTCTTTTAAAAACACCTTTGTCAGAAACTGGTTAAGCAAAATAGATTTAAAAAACAAACAAGAATATGAACAGTTTAAAATTTAAATGAGATGAAAAGAAGCATATAATGTTATGTGAGACATGTAATATAATATTATAATTTATAAAAACATAACATGTGCAACCCAGGAGGGTGGTGCATTTGGGAATACAAAATTAAATACAAGTGCTTTTGTTCTGCTCAGTATGCTTCCCTGTCTGTACCTTCCAGGACTGAGTTACTACACTTGAAATCATCATTTGGAGCTCACATTTTAAAAACTTTAAGATGTGTACATGACTTAGAAATAAGTATGTTGTAACTAATACATTCAGTATTGTACTTTAGACTTATTCTTGGAAAGGCTTTTTATTATAACCATGATACTAATACTATTCAAGTTATTATTTCTCATTAATTTTAAGTGGTATACATAAATTTCATATTTTAACATTTTTGAAATGGAAATGAGTCTGCCAGTTGATAGTGTCTTTTGGCTAGGTGGTAGCTATGACATGATAATTGTTCTTGCATGCATAAGTGATATGAAAATGTTCACACTCAAAACTTGTATGATGAACAGCTGGGGTGAAAATTCCCTGAGACAATGTGGAATCACCTTCAACTCCATGAAACCGGTAATTGTGGGGAAGAGAATGGAGGAGGTTGTAATTAGATTTAGTTACCAATATGATGAAATGAAGACAAAAGGTGACTTACCTATACATTTGCAAAACCAGCTTAAGAACATAGCAAAAATTACTTTCTTTTTCTTTTTTAAAGAAAAGCTGCTTCAATCATGTTCTTGGTGACTTAGGAGATATCCAAGAAATTGGATTTGAAAAATGGATTAGGAATATGAAGTCTAGAGATAACTTAACCAAGTTACTTGGCTTATGCTTTTTTAAAATGTATACATGTTTGATTAAAACCTATGCTGACAATAAAAAACTATTTTGAAAAGCATAAAAAATTAAGTGATAAGGAATTATGATAGGTTGATATTTTTTCCCTTCCTTTCTTAGTTGTACACAAAATAATAAGACTCAGCTTTGTTGAAATATTTTTGAAACTGATTACTTAAAATTACCTTTCCCAGCTATTGTGTAAATATTAATTTTGGGCACATCCGATTCCATTAATCTTGACTAGGATAGGGTTATAAATTCACAGTGATTTTTCCCATAGCACTTTAAGATATTTTTTCTATTGTTTTCTAAGATTTATTGTTGGTAATGAAGAAACTGATGTCAGTCTGGCTGTTACTACTTATTAAGTATTTTTTTGTCTTTGATAACTTTCAGATTTTTTCCCTATATTTAATATTCCAGTTTTTAAATATATTGTATGTAAGGAGATAATGCATATTTGTTTGGTAGTGGTGAAGGGTTGCTTGCTTGCACTTGGTGACCTTTTTGATCTGAGAACTTATTTTCAGTTCTAGCAAATTCACTTATAAACCCTTTGAATATTGTTTCTGCCATTCCATTTTTCCTTCTATATTCCTTCTTGATATATATTGGACCATCTCTTTCCCCTTCCTTCCTTCCTTCCTTCTTTCCCCTTCCTTCCTTCCTTCCTTCCTTCCTTCCTTCCTTCCTTCCTTCCTTCCTTCTTTCTTTCTTTCTTTCCCATACTTTTATCTGCCCTGTGATCTGACAGTTTCTTCTGTTTCCTCTTTACAGTTCACTGATTTTTTTTTTCTTTTCAATTGTGGCTAGCCTATTATTTAAGTCTATTTCTTGAGCCTCTTTCTTTCTTTCTCCCCCACCCTCAGTACTGGGCATTGATTTCAGGGGTGCTGTGCTGCTGAGGTACATCCCCATCCCTTCTTATTTTTTGAGACAAGGTCTTACTAAGTTGCTTAGAGTTTAAGTTGCCAAGGCTGGCCTTGAACTTGTGATTCTCCTGCCTCAGGCTCCGAGTTGCTGGGATTACAAACATGCTAAGCCTCTTTATTTGTAATACTAAAATCCATTTCTTGGATTTTTCTTGACTCTTTTTAACATTTGCATATTTGTTTTATGGGTGCTGTTTTTTATCTTGAGTTCTTTAAACATATTAAACATTTTAATGTGCCATTCAGATCACTCTATTATCTCTAATTCCTTAGAAGAGAGTTCTCTCATTTTTAGTATCTAAAGATGGCTTAAATGTTTTGTCATTCTTGTCTATAAGTTTATCTTCTTGGGGCTTTTTTTTTTTTTTCACCAAGTGTGACCTAGGAAGTGGACACATTTCTATTGAGTGATATCATGGGTAACCTGCCTGGACTCTGGAGGTTTCATCAATTCCTAACCAGTTTTCATGTTAACATCTTAGCTTGAAGTTTTCATACCACAAAGGTAAATTGAATTCAGGCCATTTTTGCATATGTTCTTCATTGGCTTGGGGTTCCCACATGTCTCCCCAGTCTTTTCCACTCTCCTATAGATGTTTCCCAGATGTAAGCTTCACTAAGTTTCTGCTTATTGAAGAGCCAGCAGCTTTACCCTGTGGCTTTAAACATACTCGGTTCAGCATTTTATTTTCAGGTGTTAGGGCACATATCTCTTTCAGGTCTTCTTCTTTGACTCCAGCTGCTAGATAATTCTTTTTAGAAAAATCTTTGCTTTGCAATTAAAAATGTTTTTATTAAATGATTTCTTTTTAAAAATATTTATTT